GTAAGAAGATTAAGTCAGTAATTAAAAATCTCCCAGTAAAGAAAATCCCAGAACCAGATGGCTTTAGTAGTAAATTTTACCAAACACTCAAAAAGCGATTAACACCAATCTTCCTCAGACTCTTCAAAAAAATTGAAGAGGAAGAGATACTTCTAAAATCATTTTACAAGAGGGCAGATCTTACTTCTGATTTCAAGCTCTGCAGTGAAAGCATGGTTCTGATAACAGAGCCAGAAAACAGCACAAGAAGAACACGGCAGCCGACATCCCCGGTGACCGGAGGCACAGTGGTTCCCAACAGAGCGCCGGCAACCCCAAGGCAGCAGCGTCTGTCCCCCCTGGGAGGCTGAGCTGGTCCCACACACGCAAATCAGCTTAGGTCATACGTCACATTAACAGACTGAAAGAAAAGTATCCACCATCTCAGAAAAGGCATCGGGCAAAATTCAACATTGATTCAAGTAACGATTCACTATAAATGAGGAGTAGAGGGAAATTCCTCAACAACCGACAGGGGGAGGTCGAAACCCTTTCCTCCGAGGTCACAGACGAGGCCGGTTCCGGGTCCCGTCACGCCTCTACCGCCAGTGTGCCAGACGTGCTCGGGTCAGGCAGCAAAACATGCGAACGGCCTCCTAACCAGACAGGAAGGAGAAAGTCTCTCCTTGTAGATGACATTCTGTACAGAGAAAATCCTAGAGACCCAACCAAAAAAACCCATTAAAACTAATCAACAAATTCAGTGGAGATGCAGGCTGTAAAATTGACATAGAAAATTCAGCAGCTTCTCTACTACAACAAATTACCTGAAACACAGGTAAAAATCATCCATGTATAATAGGGTTAAAATCAGTAAAATACTTATGAATAAAACTAACTGAGGAGGTGAAAGATCTTCATGTGAAAACTTCAGGACACTGATGAAGAAACTGCACCCCATTGACACAGGCGAGCAGCGCGTGGGAGGCCAGGTGAGAGCCTGGGGTGGGACGGAGTCAGGAAGGGCAGCCCCCAGGAAGGGTGTGGGGACCAGAGGGGCCTCCGGGATGGAAAGCTGAAACGTCCTCGTGGGGGGGCAGCCCCCCAGCAAACAGAAGGCGGGCGGAGCAGGGGAGGAGGGGGGGCGTGGAGGCCCAGCGTCACACAGAAGGGCCCCGCCGCAGAGCAGGGTGGGAAGGCCAGAAACACACGCCTTGTCCAGTCGCATCCACGGCTCCACATTCCACGGTTTCAGTTACCTGGGGTCAACCGGGACAGAAATACTCCAGAACCGGACAATTCACAAGCATTAAATGGCTCGTTGTTCTTGTAGGGTGATGAAATCCCGCCCCGTCCCGTTCTGCCCCACCGGAGACGTGACCCACCCCTCTGTCTGTGTGTCCGTGCTGGGGGTGCTCCCACTGTCCGTCCCCGTAAGCTTCTCAGTTGTCAGATCTGCTCTCTGGGGACCACCTTGCTTCTATGTCACGCCGCCTCACGGCCCCAGAGTGCAAGGGCGCTGCTGCTGGCTTCGGGTGTGCCAGAGAGAAGCTGGGGTGTGCTTCCTTCACAAGGTAAAAGTTCTTGACTTAATAAGGAAGGGAAAAAACCGCATGCCGAGGTGGCTAAGAGCTACAGCGAGAGCAAATCTGTGAAATTGAGGAAAGAGAAAGTAGTCAGTGCCCACTTTGCTGTCGCAGCTCAAACTGAAGAGGTTACAGCCCAGGGTGCGGTAAGTGCTTGGTTAAGATGGAAAAGGCATTCAGCTTGGGGGGGAACATGTCTGATCAGAAAACCGTCTGCAGCCGGAGGCAGCATGTTGTGCCAGAAAGCGTGAGCCTGTATGAGGGGTTCAGCAAGGGGTCCCCGACATCAAGCCATTTACTGCAGTTAAGGGAAGTTGACCCAGATTTAGGACGAGGTTTGGCATTTTATCATCTCATATCATCGCAAGAAGAACAGTGAGTCCAGGACAATGAGATATTGTCAGGGTGAGAGAGGGGCTGCGTTCACGTAACTTTCATTCCAGTGCAGCGTGACAATTGTTCTGCTATTATCAGTTACTGCAGTTAACCCTTCCCGTGCCTGGTGCGTAGGCTACACTGCTCCATAGCTGAGTGCGTACAGGGAGACACAGGCACCGCCGTGGGTCTGGGAATGTGCCCCTCTAGTAGGGGGCGATGCACAGCCTGTCTCTGGCACTGTAACCTTTGTCCCTCAAGGGCAGGGGTTACCTGCCCTTGGTTCCCAGTGCCTAGCGTACAGAAAACACTGAGCAAACGTTTGGTGATTTGCATTGGACGCGTGAGGGGCTCCTTACAAGGATTTTAAGGAGCTCTGCCTCAAGTCCGTTGCATCCAGTGCCTCAACTAGGAAAAGCAAGTAAATGCTCCATGCGGAGAAGTATCCACAGTGGAGAATTCGTCGTGACCAAATGGACAATGCAGCAGTTCTGAGCCACCTGCTGAAATGGTAAAGACATTTAAAAAACTGAGCTGACCTGCGTGTGTGGGGGACAGCATTCGAACACCGCGTTTTACCAGACCTTTTTAAAAATGCAGCAAAGACCTTCAAAACCTTTCTGTACACTGTGAGTGTGCCTTTCCCCTACAAGTGACCGCTCGTGAGTATTTGTGGAGGCCTGTGTTGTCATGAGGAGAACAAACCACATTAAAGGAGGTAAATGACCCTCTAAGAATGTGCAAGTAACGGTTGCCACAACAACCGCTGGCTTGTACTGGATAGAGAGCAAAATAAATCACTGAGAAACCAATGGGAACACGAACCGTTTCTGCCTCCCCAGCCCAGAACCTTCCCTGCACCTCCGCACGGTGAGAAGGGCCTGGGCTGGTGCCGGGAGGGGCGGCGGTGCGAGGGAAGCCTCCCTGGGGCCTCCTTACGTTCTCCTGTAACCTCACCTTCTCAGCGTCCACGTTGTTTGCTGGGGTGGTAAAAAAAACAGCCCGCTTTCTGGCTCTTTTGCAATGATATCATTAAACAATTCTGGGCTCGGATCTAAAAATTCTTTGAACCGAACAATTTTCAGGTTTATAAGAAGTAACATCCGTGTAGAAAGTTCTTCCCTGAAGTGGCACAACCCGGACTCGTCAAAAGCAAGGACACGACACAGGGATGGCGGACACAGTCCAGACGCCGCCCCGACCACCCTGTTCCAGGTCTTCCTTCTCTCTGTTGGGGGGGTTCACTGCCCTTCATCCCTAACTGCCTCGGGCACTGAGAAGACGGGGAAAGAGGGCCAAACGTTTCAGACACAGTTGAAGAACCTTGCTAATGGGGACAAGAGGCCTGTGAACAGGACAGGAAAGGTTCAAGAACGGCTGGGGAACAGGTGTGTGAGTGCGGGCAGCTTGAAGAGCATGTGGTGAAGGGTGCGGGCCTTTGGCTGAAGGAGCTTCGTCTCCTGAGGAAACGCTCAGGCTCGCAGATGGGACTGTGCACGCTCATTTGCGAAACCGCCGAGTGACAGAGGGACCCACTGAGGGCACTGAGTCCCTTCACAGTGTTTTTGAATGATGGCCGAGGCTTCTTACTGGGTCCTACGAATCCAGTTAGTGGGTTGCGACAAGAAGGAGAAGAAGAAAGAAGACAGAAAATACAATGACTCTCCTCTAGTAAGAATAAGTGGATTTTGTAAAACTTGTTTCATTCTGCCCTCCTCTGCGTGTAGGTACTAACTTGCAATGCACTTCTCATGGTAGACCCTGGCCAGTTGGGTTGGAGAGCCAGACCTTCCCGCTGAGAACCCTCCTGTATTTCCCACGGTCTACGGAAGGAGGAGGAGAAAGAAGTAGTGGAGGCGGAGGGCGAGAGGACTTGCTCCACCTCCTCTGCTCCAGGAACGTCCCCCAAATCCACCACCTACTCCCCACCGACACACCGGGTTCCAGGTTTTCTGCTCACTGTCCTCCCCTGTCCTTGTCCCTCGGAACCTAGATCGCGATGCTTCCTCTGTGCTCTCTGCACACATCCTGCTCTCCTTAGGGACCTTCGAGCCTCCTCTCGCCACTTAGCGAAACCATCCCTATTCCTTGCCTCTCACACGTCTTCCTGGCTGCTCTGCGGCTTCGCTCTCTCCTGCCGGCTGCCCGTGTCATTCTTCACCTGCCTTTGGCCCCGCCCCCCACCTTCTCCGGGCACCTCTCTTGCTGGCTCTGCTTCCCCACCCTGGGGCTCCCCTCTCGGCATCCGCCCCTAGGTCATCGTCTCCCATAATTCAGTCTCTGTTGTCTTATTATTTCTGCTTTATCTCCAGTCAGTCCACTCGAGTGAAAGCAACTTGAGCCTGGGGACAGTGGAGCTCATGTTTTCACCCCTGTGATGTCTGACACAGCGTGGGGCATATAGCAGGTGCTCAGTACAAACGCCTTAAATTATAAACTCAACGAGTCCCCCCTCTGCACGGAAGCTCTGCCCCACACCCTCCAGTGTTTTTCTCTTTAGATACAAGGTTTGCATTTGAAGGGGCTTTGCCATTTCTAAAGCCTCCCTCTCCCTCTTATCTCAGTTCATCTCGTCTCTAAGGACTTGGCAAAGTAACGGGTTATGGTGCTGCTCATTCCTGAGAGATGAGGAGATGAGTCTCCAACAGGCTGGTGACGGTAATGCAGCTTGTATGTGGCATCCCTAGAACGGAAGCCATGACGTGGCCTGCTCTGTGCCGCCACCTCCCTGCTCCAGTGGACACGTGAGAACAGCAACCACACAGCATGTGCTCATTCAACGCAAACTCTGTGCAGAGAAAAAATCCAAGTAACTGGCAGCCAACGCGCATCCTGTGTTTCTCATGGAGCGAGGAGTCGAGCACCTGGCACCGGATCAGAGCTTGGGTGTCAGTGCCGCTTCTGCGCCTGCGTGTGGGAGGAAGCCACGCGCTCAGAGATGCGCTGGTGTCCATAGTAGGGCTGACAATCTTGCCATTGAACCCGTGCTGCCAATCAGCGGGTCTCTGGACAAAGTCCCACACGCCCACCACGCTCTCCCCATGTCAGCCGGCTCCTTACCGAGCTGCTCTCCCAAGCGCTGTCCTCTCTCCGTCGAGATGACGCGCTCGTCCTCCATGTCACATTTGTTTCCCACCAGGATGACCTGGGCGTTATCCCAAGAGTAGGTCTTGATCTGAGTTGACCTAAAAGAAGAGGAACAGGCACAAGAAGAAAAAAAATCAAAGGAAAGCTGAACAGCATAAAATGAAGAAGAAATACGTCACACACATGATGATAATAGCCAACAATGAAGCCCAAATTTGGAATTAATTACTTTAGTAAAATTTCACCGTTCAGACACTCATCAGGGGTTGACTGAGCTGGAGATGAAGCACAGTGACGCGGTACTAGGAATTCTTCTGTGCACTAGGATTCTGTGTTGGACGAGGGGCTCCCCCCCTTTAGCCACTCCTGGTTGCCTGACACACTCAGTGTCAGGAGGGAAAGTCCCTCGTCAGAGAAGCCCTCAGAGCCGGGAGACCTAGATGGCCAGTCACTGGATGGCAGACACAAAACTCCCTCATCACAGCAACGCCGGAGAGAGCTGAGTCAACTGGGGCCTCGGAAACCTGAGGGTAATGCCGATTTTTAAAAATGAGGACTTCCGCCAAGACGAAGGCATAGGTGGAAACACCTTGTGTCCTCACACAAACAAATCTAAAAACAACAAAGTTTTAACAATAATAAACGCAACCAAACCACATAGAAAATCAACAATCTGGAGTCCAAAAACAACGAAATGCTCAGCTAAACCTGTAAGAGGAGCAAAGCCAGCAGCGGAGGGGGTTGGCCACAAAGATCCCCGACCAGGGTGGTGCGCAGGCAGCCGAGGGCGTGGATCCCAGGTGCGGGCTAGCTACGGGCCGACACAGGGAAGAGGCGCGGCTGGCTGTCTGCAGTCAGTTGAGCATCTGCACGCAGATAAACCAGTGAAGAGGCGAGCATTGAGACCGCATGGCGCGGGGCAGCAGGCTCGCACATTTCCGCTCAGATAAACAGGCGGGGGCCAGCGGTGGGACAGACTGGGCGAGCGGAGAGGACCTCCATTGTCCCTCTCTGACCCCGCCCCCACCTACAGCATCACAAACCAGCAACCTGGGTGGCCCCGCCCTTGTAAACAACTAAGGCTCCGCTCTTCAGACGTAACAGGGACAAACAGATAAAAACATGGCTCAAGAACAACTCAAAACCCCAGAGCCGATAAATCTAAGTAATGAAGAAATAGCCAAACTTTCAGATGCACAGTTCAAAACACTGGTGATCAGGATGCTCACAGAACTGGTTGATTTTAGTCACAAATTAGAGGAATATATGAAGGTTAAACTAATTGAAATGAATGGAAATGCACAGGAAACCAATAGTAATGGAAAGGAAACTGGGACTCAAATCAAGGGAGTGAACCAGAAGGAGGAAAAAATGACCAAACAGAAAAGAATGAAGAAACAAGAAATCGAAAAAATTAGGAGAGGCTTAGGAACCTCCAGGACATCTTTAAACGCTCCATCATCTGAATTATAGGGGTACCAGAAGGGGGAAAGGAACAGCCACCAGTGGAAAACTTATTTGAACAAATAATAAAGGAGAATTTCCCCAGTCTGGCAAAGGAAATAGCCTTCCAGGAAATCCAGGAAGCTCAGAGAGTCCCAAAGAAGTTGGACCCAAGAAGAAACACACCAAGGCACATCATCATTACATTAGCCAAGATTAAAATGAAGGAGAGAATCCTAGAAGCAGCAAGAGCTAAGGGGACAGTCACCTACAAAGGAGTCCCCATCAGACTGTCAGTGGATTTCTCAAAAGAGACCTTACAGGCAAGAAGTGGCTGGAAAGAGGTATTCCAAGTCATGAAAACCAAAGACCTACAACCAAGATTGGTCTATCTAGCAAAACTTTCATTTAGAATGGAAGGACAGATAAAGTGCTTCTCAGATAAGATCAAATTCAAGGAGTTCATCTTATCTAAGAGAAAGAAGTTAAAGAAACATGAACAGTGAAAGGACAGCAAACTCACAGTTATTAACAACCACACCTAAAACAAAAGCAAGCTAAAAGGACAGCTAGATCAGGAGTGGAAACATAGAAATGAAGATCTCAAGGAGGGTTAGCAACAGGGGAGTGGGAGGAGGAGAAGAGGGGAGAAGGTACAGAAAATAAGTAGCATAGACAGTAGATAGAAAATAGATGGGGGGGGCAAGAATAGTATGGGAAATATAGAATCTAAAGAACTTGAGACACATGGTCATAAACTGAAGGGAGGGAATAGAACAACTGTAATGGCATAATCAATAAAAAATTTCACAATAAACATGTAATCTAATACAAATAAATAAAATATTCCCATCAAAAATTTAAAAAATGAATTAGAAGAGCTAATATAATCAGGGTCTTACATTTTAAAAAAGATTTTATTTACTTTTAGAGAGAGGGGAAGGAAAGGAGAAAGAGAGGGAGAGAAACACCAATGTGTGGTTGCCTCCTGTGCGCCCCCTATTGGGGACCTGGCCTGCAACCCAGGCACGTGCCCTGACTGGGAATGGAACCAGCAACCCTTTGGTTCACCGGCCGGCGCTCAATCCACTGAGCCCCACCAGTGAGGGACATGGTCTTCCATTTTTAAGACAAAAATGCCGGGGCACAGGGCAGCTTGGATCTCACCAGACACCCCTCGCTGGGAACGCAGACCCAAACGCAGGCCCCAGACCCTCAGGCCTGGGCCCCTGGCCAGGTGCCCGGACTGAGAAGCGGCTCTTCTCTGGAGCTCCAGAGCGTTCGTCGTGACCGGGAAGCTGACAGGAAGCGTGTTTTTGAAGCTCCCTTTCTACTGGCCCCACTCTTCTTGGAGAGCAACAGACTCAGGCAGGACAGACACATGAATCAAACGCTGGAAAGCGAAATGCATGATGACAGTTTAAAGGAAAAGATTTGAAAAGTGTGAAAAAGAAAGCTTGGCAGTGTTCTTACCAGCAATTTCCAAACCCTTCAGGTTGTTAAACAGAAAGCAGTGAGGATTTGCTCTCGACTGGCAAAGAGAATAAAGGCCAATCGCTTCAAACAGAGGCAGCAGAGCTCTCAGTGAGATGCGGTCCTGCCCCTGCTGATGGGAGAGGAGGCTGGGGGGGGCGGGGCCAGTGCCACGGACCCCCTCCCCCCCCCCCCGGGGCCGAGGGCTCCCAGGGGACACAAGTGTCCGGTGACACGTGGTCATGGCTCCGTCTCAGAGGGGCACCGCAGGTCATCAGAAAACGTGCGTGCGGGCTTCCTGATTCGGGCACCTCAGTCAACAACACGGTCCTTCAGCGATGGGGATGCGGCCAGCACCCACAGCGGGGAGGACGAGGCAGACAGCGGGGACAGCGCCCTGCCCTCGCCGCTCCTTCTGTGTGGCATGGGTAGAAATGGCGATTTCGTGGTGAATCACCATGTGGAGCACACCCTGCACGCAGGGAACCCTCGCCTCTCGAGTGCTGACACAGTCTTACAAGGAGATTCCGAGGGTCCTCGTGCAGGGACCCGTGTCCACCTGCGTGTCCTCAGGCGGGTTTGCGGCCACTCCCTGGCTGCCGCGTGGGTCTCCTAGGCCAAGGCCTGGCCTCTTCCTGGACAGACCGTAGGTGGAGCCCTGTGCTAATGGACAAAGCTCTTACTCCGGCACACAGCTAGGAGCGGGACAGCCAGAGCGAGGCTGGGGAGGTGGCCCCGGAGGGGCCACAGCCGTGTGAAGATGGGTTTGGGGCCGGCTGTGAATGACGGGCGTCCTGGGTCTGAGGACAGATGTCGCTGGAGGCGCGTCAACCCTCCTGCGGCCCAGGTCCGCCCACCCTGTCACCGTGATGTGCACACTGGCTCCTTGAACCAAGCTCAGGGGACGCTCGCTTATGCCAGGAAGCACGTGGCACTCGCCCCGGGGTCTTGGGCTCCCCGGACAGGTCACACAGGTAAGCACAGCGATTCCCCTCCCCTCACTGCCTGCACAACACACGAAAATGTGCTCGGCCCTTTCAGAGGGAAGTGCGAACGCAAAGCAAGTGTGGGAGGCCATTGGGCCTCACACCGTCACCTGCAGAACGAGGCCCCCGCTCACTGGGGCTGCAGTGGGCTCGTGAGGGTTCAGGGGGCTCACACTCCACTTACTACCTCGCAAGTGTCCTTTTTCCAGAGAGACACACTATGCGTCTGAGATCAGACCGTCCTTCCTCCAAACCCAGCTCAGTTCGTGCTTCTAACCCCTACGATCTGAACAGCAGTGATTTTTTTCCACTGAAGTATCTCAAATGTTGTCTCCAGTTCATATCACGAGACAGAGGCCCTGCACAGGGAAGCTCCGCACTGGGAGTCACACCTGTTGGGGACAAGAGTGGGTCCCCCTCCGGTGGCGTTTCTGTGTGCTCTGTCTGTCTGTCAGCGCATGGCATGGTGCTTTGAGAAACTGCCCATTTCTGCACACGGGGCTGTAACGTCCTCTCCTGGGACTGTCTTGTTTCTTTGTTGGTCAGAGAGACATTGAAAGAAAGTGGCTGTCACCAACGACATGCACATGAAAAGATGATTTATATCTGAATCACTGAAGAGGATCCTTTGGGATTTACTGCTAAACTCAACAAGATTAATGGAATCAGAAGCAATATGCTGGTCGCCACGGTTACTCAGCAAGTGGTGATTAATGCAGACCTTACTGGTCTGTTATTACAGGTCATAGCTATTAAAAATCTGTTGTGCAAAGAACCACCTCTCCCTCTCTCTATACTTATATATTTTCTATATTTTAAAAAATATTTTTATTTCTCTAAAAATATACATGCATTTATACATACAGAGGAAAGGGTTTTGCTGTTTTATTGTTTTTGTTTTATATATGAGGCAGCAGGAGAGAAAAGTTTTTCATGTTTTACACATAAATGAACTCCGCACAGAAAAAAATAATCCCAGTTCCTATTCCTTCTTCCTTCTTCCGGGTACACACACTATTTCCCAGGAGTTCAGCCTGTTCTCAGAGGGAACGTTCTAAAAACCAGTGCACAACACGCACCCCAGTGACCCGAAAAGCCATGCCTCTGAGGGTCCTGTCTGGGCCGCAGGTGGGGAATCGGAGCCTGGGGGGGCCTCCGAGTCCGGCTCCCGCCTGGGCAGACGTGTGTCGGGGGCA